ACTTGTGCTCCCGTGTAGCCGTTCTGCATCGTACCCTCGATTTGTTAAAAGCTTCGAAAAGCAAGCTTTGCTCGGCGCGTGCACATTTTGCTAAAACTGTAATGAAGCCTTCGAGTTGGAGTGTATGTCCAGTGAGATGATAACAGATTGAGGAGGAAGCGGGAGCATATGGTCGACGGGAACGGGAAGGATGTAGTGTCTGAGCCTGGCTGTTCAGAACATTTGCTCTCAGCGCCAATCACTCTTATTGTTCTCATCAGTGTGATTACTTTGAACGGGATGATTGCGGTAATGCTATGCATAATGTAGAAGAATCGCACAGAAAAGTGGGAGGAAACAATCTGCAAGATAGTTGTCTCTTTCAGTTTGGATGAGCCGGGGCATGAGTCAGCTGTTGTCGTTCTGCTCTGTGGCACTAAGCTCTCCTGACTTTGCAAAGGCGCTGAGCAGGCTTCCTCCAAATTGACTCAAGGCTAAATGAAGAGACGGGAGGGCTTCTTCTAATGAAAAGGCCTCACTTGTTTTTTCACTGATTATGGAGGAAAGCTACGTCAGTATCGCTCTGCGTCGTGATCTATCCGCGGCTGGAAGCTCGACTCACCTGGTTGCCATTTTTTTCTCTATTAATAGAGCAGACGTGGATTTTCTTTGTCGCTGTTCGTTCATGGGCTCTTCTGTGTGCCGGTCAGCGTTCTTGAGTGCCTGGTGGTGTCGGGGTATGTGGCATAGATCTCAGGCGCTCCATAAAATGAGCTGTGTAAATTTGTAAGATGCTGGCGTGGTGCCCGGTGCTGCCCCGTCGGCCCAGACATCTTCACCGAGCGTCACACTGAAAGCTTCACTTTGCACATTGTAGCGGGAGTGACGGCTGCCGCATTCGCCAACACAACATGACAGATGGCGAGTGCATTAGATGCATTTCACATCCTCCCTCCCCTCCCCTCCCCATTTTTTTTTTTTAGGTCTTAAATAGCAATTGGCATTAACTCGGGCATATGTTGAGGACTTGAGCGAGAACCAAAATAGTTGGTGGAAAAGTCCAAGACCACCATGTGTGGCTGAATTACTTTTTAGTTTTCTGGCCCAGGTATGCGGCAGGTTCGTGTGGCAAACCAAATCAGCTTTTCCTGAGCTTATTTTCTCTCCATCTCCCATATCCCGCTGAGTTTTCTTTGTCTGCGGCCCTTGTCTTTTGACTCTTTGACAGCCTGAAAGTAGGTGAATTGTGAGAGAAGAATGGCTCTTTGTTTTGCCCACTTGCTGTCACTGTGGATTTGATTGTCTCAGTAGGCAACACGGCCTCAGACACAACTATTCACACACTCTCACACACAGTCACCCCTGTGGATGGACATTCCTTTTGGCAGGGCTCCCAGATGGTGCTGCAGGTTCTCCGTGGGCCGCGGCCATAAGAAGGAGTGATTGACTGCGTTTCTGGAAGGCTGAGCAACATCTTGGTGGAGTGCGAAGGTTATAAGTCCTGAACACTGCTTTTCTTTCCTGCTGAGAGTTCAAACTGTTTAGAGAAAATGTTCAGTACAAGCAGGAGTCTGTAGAAGCTTTGGGAAAACAGATTGACCCGTCCCGTGTCCGTTTTGCAGGATTTCATCTTGTGCTGAATTAACTAGCTAATAGAGAAGTTGACTGGCAACAACAACATTTTAATTTCTGCTCTTTAACTGTGATTGTTTGCTGCTGTTCCAATTACAAAGTGAATATTGTTAGGTTTTGGGACTGTTTGTCTGACAAAACAAGTATTTTGGAGACACTGCCTGAAGCTATCAAATTTGTGACCTTTTTTTTTTTTTTTGCTATTCTCATTTGTTTTTCTCCAAAATAATAATCAACTACCATAAAAAAAATAGTTTCATCAATATAAAATCTTTGCATATTTATCCTTGCAAATCAGACTTGCATATGCATGTAACCGGGGTTGTTCTTGCACAGAGGTGTTTTGTTCGCCCTACAAGGAGGTGTCAAGCAGCACGAAAGGAAAATCACCATAATGATATGAATTAAGAATAATAACAGCATTAGGGTTTTATTTACCCAAGCATAACACACATTGTTGTTTATGAAATGGTCAAAAATAGCATGCAGAGATGTTGTCAAGTGACGTAAAGCAGACTCACTGTAATGAGCAGTCGACCAGCGCTGTCCTATTCTGAGCCAGAAAAAAAACTCTACTAACACACGTGTGCAAAATTTCCAATCCAGTGTCGCTTCCCTGCTGGATCTTTGCAGTATGTTTCCCCCGACATACTGTTTCAAAGAGGTACACTGCGTTTGATTTAATACATAGTGTTCTATGTTATGAGAGTTACATGAATGAATTTGCTAAATGTAGTCAAACAGGGAATATCAGTAACTGTGCTTCTTTTTAGCAACCAAGGAAGGTAGTTGTAAAAAAAACCGTCTCTTTAGTGTTTTGGACCGAAGTCATCGGGACCTTCACCCCAGCTGTTTCCGCTTCCACGTGCTTAAAGATAATGAACTTGGGGTGAAATTGGAAGTCTTAAATGGTAGATGCTTAAAAAGGGAATGGCTTTTGAGCCACAGGGTTAGTGACAGGCTGTTGAGCATTCAAAGGAAGTCTCGTTAAAACAGCATTTTAGTGTTTTATGACAAAGCTTACAAGCAACATCAGTTCCATTAAGGGAGAGTGGTAGTTGGAGAGACTGTCCCGTCATCCGGAAGGTGACTGATTTTATCTGCGCGACAGCAACCCGTGAAGAGCCTCGAATGCCCCGCAGCCCTGTCTACTCCGGAATCAAGTTTTTATGTTGATTAATTGATTTGTTCAACCCCTTTTAAATGTTTAATTAACCTAGACCCAGATTAAAATGTCACTAATATGGAATCCTCGGATCCTTTATCGCAGCCAGTTGAGCTGGAAGTGATTTTATGAGTCTTGGGAAATGACATTTTCCCCAAACGGACGTCTTATGGCTGGCTTCAAACCGTTGGTGGCAGTCACAGTGGAAAAGACGTCTTGCCAGCACAAACATGACTTCACAGAACAGAAAATGCATTTGTTGGCTACCACGCTTCAGTGAGCTTTTATGAGTGGAGTCGCGTATTAGCGACGGAGCAAGTAGATTCCATGTCTGACTTGCAGTTTTGCGTTGATAAAAGGTTAATGTGGCGTTTAAAACGTCGCAGTCAGCTGAGGATTGATGCGATGCTTGATACAGAACGCTATACATCATGTTTGCTCTATCACTGCATGCCACAGGGCTGGTTTTAATGGATATTCATATTCAGGCATGTGTAATAATGTTGCGGGGGGGATTTGTTGAGATAAATATCTCGCATGTTTAGTTGTCGGGAAAGTTGCTGAATGCATAACTTTCCACATCTTTGATATCATCTCAAGGCTGAACATTTGGCTCTCAGGCAAAGTTTTCTTTTTTTGTTGAGCAAAGAAAAAAAAAGAAAGTCTAGTGAATTATAATGATTGTATCTGCTCTGGGTGTTTCTTTGAGCTCAGATCATCTGCAATGGGCCTGTTAATGGATCCAATTTAGGTTGGATGGAGACATATTTAAACGCCTACACTCTCTCCCAATTGAGACTGATGAACTAAGAATTGGTGTGCCTCAAGAAAATCACTTTCTTGTCCGTCGTGACTGTGGGTTGTTGTAGTGCCACTGCTGTATCATAACAGATGAACCAGGCTGGAACAGATTTTTCCTGAAGTGAAGCTTGTGCTGCGCAGAGGAGGATAACAGTTGAATTTGTATGAATATTTTATTGTATTTTAAACGCGTTGGAGACGTTACTTTATCAGCGTTTTAAGCCCTTGAACCCCCAAACTCACCAGTGGGCTTCAAAGGCAAGTTGTCTTTTGAAAAGAAATGCCAAAAATCCTTAGTTTATCAGCCAGAAACTGTAAGAAGAATTATTAGACGTTCAACATTTATTGAAGTAATTGTGTGTGTGATGTGCAGTTTAATTTACCAAATCTGTCAAACAATTCAGGGAATATTTGGCTGAGCAGGGCTGACAAATATGGAAACAAATTACAAATGTAGGCATTAAAATATTTTCAGGATGTGGAGCGGCCATTTTTTTCCCATGGTGGTAACAGATGGGTACTTGCTGGATGTTGACTCCAGGATTTTCACGTTTTTGTAAAATCAGTCGTCAAAGAAACGCAACTTTTAAAGATTAGTGATGCTGTGGCTTTGTTATACTGCACAAAAGACATTTCTGAATTCTCTCTACCTCAAGCTACCAAAATAAACTGTTTGAGGTTCAAAGGATTAATGTTAGAGCTGTTTAGAAGTCAACAAGTAATAGAAGAATAGAATAGAATAGAACTTTATTGATCCCCTTGGTAGAAACTTAAGGGAAATTGCAGTCTTTAAATTAATAGTCTTTGGTTGAAATGAGACTATGCACAAACTTTGGCTTAAAAAACCCTTATTGGAAATGATAAAACCACAATATCAGTAACTGAAAAGGTGCAGTCATGTTACCATAGTTGGCTGTTGGATTAGCTCAGTGCTTAGATTTCCTTTAAATTTCAAATGATCCATCTAGTCCAGGGGTGCCCAATCCTGATTTTTTTCAAATAAAATTCAATTAAGCATAGGAAGTGCATTTAATATTGTTATTAGCATGGTTTTCTGTATTCAAATTAGCCATGCTAGTACATTGCTGCTTGTTAGAATCTTTATCTAACTAGCCTAGCATGCTAACTGGCAAGCTAATAGCCAATCTCCTGGAAAAAAAACCCCCAAAAAACAAGCACTACTAGGAGAAAAAAATATATATTTCTCTTGTATTGCACAGGATTGACAAAACAGGCAACATAGAGGTGCCAGTGGGCTCTGTGTTGTTTGTTTGCATTTTTACTATTTCAGGGTAAACAATTAGTCCAACCAGTGCGCTGATGTTCTGCCACTCTTGATCTTATTAATCACAAAAAAGATGAAAATGTGCTTAACATATTTCTCTCGTCTCCTGCTTCCTTCCTTCCTTCCTTCCTTCCTCAGGTGCATCCTGTTGCCTCTCCAGAGTGTGAAGCCTCCTCAGCAGGCCCTCTTCCTGCTCGTGGACTCCATCGATGAAGGCTGCCAGCTGGGCGAGGGGGAGCAGAGGTCGTCCCCCGGCTCCCCCAGGACCATCGCTGAGCTCCTGGCCAGTCATCACGAGTTCCTGCCCCCCTGGCTGCTGCTCATCTGCTCTGCACGTCGACAGAACAAAGCCATCACCAAACTCTTCACAGGTAAATAGTCCGGCTGTGCCAGTTAAGGTCACCACTCTCTAGGAGGCCACTTTCATTAAGCTTTAAGGTGTTAAAATCAATCCGTCATTGTAAAAATCATTTTTCTACTTTCATCACAATTAAACTGAGCCAAGACAGTTTGATATATGAGTTAGTGTTTGCACCTGTCAGTCCTGCTCCGTGCTCGTTTTCACTCAATGGCGACATTTTTTCCGTCTTAATACGATGCATTTTACCCAGAAATGCAGTACAAACAAAAGCCTGGGTCACGGTTGCTTTTCTTTCACGGCTTTTTGAAATGTACAGATGTAAAAAGGCTTTCCAGTATCACGACATGCCTGAAGAGATTAGGGTCACCGCTGCAGACCTCTGTAAGAGTTGCAGCGCTTCCTTGTCCTGTGACACTGTACCAAACCGGCTGCTATTATCTCCTTGTCAGGCCAGCAGCCTACTCTGTGGTGATGAGCTGGCACAGCATTAATCAAGAACCTGACTGTGTGGGAGGATGTCTCCTCCGCAGGCTCCCACTGCTCTGTGTACCCCCTCTACCTTTTCAAAACCACTGAATGTGGGAGCTTCTCGTGCCCTCGCCTCACCTCTTTACCGTTACATAACATCCCGGCAGTCTATGCAGTTACACTATTTCCTGCTGTGGAGATGGATGGAGTCAGGTTCAAGGCTGAACAAGCTACTCTGTTTTTTTTTGTTGTTGTTGTTGTTTTTTTTCTGAACAGTAAATCGATTTCTTATCAAAATTGGAAAATTGAGACAAGGCAATGAGCAAATTGCAAAGGCTGCATGAGGTGGAGCTATTAAATATTTAGACCAATGCTGTAATTAAGCTTATTTAATTTGAACAGATTGAAACATACAGTAATCAATATATACTACGTGCGCCAGGCATGAATGATCCCTTGTACATTTACGTTGTCGTGTCAGTAGCTGTACAAAATCATGCCATCCTCTTCATGTGACAGTCCAAGTCTATTACACATGTAATATTGAACTTCTACCAGTTTTACCACAAATCAAATTGCAGTGTCTATCAGAAAAATTGCAGTTTGATATTTTCCCCGGGTTCCTCCAGTGCCCATTTTTTCGTGGTACAATCTCCCAAAATATCCGTAGCATTATTGTTAATCCTTATGTAACACTTAAGACTGTCGTCTGTCGTGCTACAGCAGTTTGTGTTGTGAATCAGACGCTGCAGTGTTTAAGTCCTACACTGCTCTTTGTTTTCATTCTCCTCTGTGCTGTTTATCATCATGTGAAAATTATGCAAAAATCCTACAAATGTATAAGCTACCGTGTTGTGTAGAGCAGAATGAAAGTGTGTGTTTTTATTTACTGCTATGTTTCTGACAGGGAGTGCATGTAGCCACAGTATTAATACAATTCACGCAAGTCACACATACAAATAATATCATCTGAAAAAGCTACTGGACCTGATTGCAGGCCTCCTGCTTTGATATTTAGCCCCAACAACAGATGAGACCAGCATTTGGCTTCCAGTAGGGGTTTTATTCAGATTCTGGCTCTTGTTCACAGGACTGCAGTCGTATTTTGCTGGTATGCTCAGAAGTCAGAAGGCAAGGTGTGTAGGCATGTGGCATTTTACTGGAAAACAATACAGACAATGCTCGTGTACGTACTCAGAATAGGTTGAATGCAGCAGAGCACCTGTGCAAAACAGTCATTTGTGACATTTACAGTTCAGGCGTCTCTCTATGGACCATCTGCAGGGCTCAGCTTATAGGTAAGAGCAGAAACAATTAGTTGATGAATCAATAACCTAGAAACGTCACTTTGCTGATATACTCATCGTTGAAGTTGTGTATTAGCCAGCGGCTGCTGTTGCTCTGCTATCATCAGCCTCAGCCTCTGGAAAAACCCATATCAGACGATTACCGATCGGTATTTTAATCACTGTTAGCTGCAGACGTGACGCACATAAAACAAAAAAACAACTAAATTGGAAGTAATTACACCACTATCAAAGCAGCTGTCAGTTATTAGAATGATTGTCATGTGTTTACACTTGAACTCAACAATATAATTTGAAAGTAGGTCGTAAATGACGGGGCTCAGTGTCGGGGATTAAGTGAAATCATAAGTGTAGGTGTCAGACTGGGGTAAGTGTGGCTTAGATGAGTGTAGATCTGATCAGCGGTGACAGCGGCAGTGAGGGAGGGGAAGTTGGATTTGAGGACACCAGAAACTCACTTTGAGTTGTGGGCGTCAAGCGTCTAATTCAACAAACCAACTGTGATGCAAGCTGCCCACTTCATAATCGCAAAGACATGCCCACCCACGCTTTCCTCAAACATCAAAGGTGCTACGTAGGTGCCCGTGGTAGATTAGATTCTGGATTGGTATCAGAGTGTAGTATGAAGCATCCTCACAGCATTTTCCAAAAACTTTGATCCCATAGACAACACAGATGGAAGAAGTTTTATATTTGATTTCCTTTCAGCAGCAATTTGCATTAAATCGTATTTTCTGGTTCCTCCTGGTTGTGTACGTGTAACCGTGTGTGTAGGTGTGTGTGTGTGTGTGTGTGTGTGTGTGTGTGTGTGCTGTCTGCTGTGTCAAGGCCAAACCGTAGATTTGAATCGTCAGATTTTATTTGGCTTGCACATAAAGTTGACAGTGGAGTCAGCAGGGGAATATATAAGCGCATGTGCTAGATATAAATGCTAATGGGGATTTTTTTTTTTTTTATCTGTAACTATCTCAGAGTATCTTAGCAAGTTGTGTGACTGCCTGTTTGCTTTTGCTCCTCTTATGTTTGTAGCTGATGAGCTGTCTGTTCTTTTTGTTTTTGATATGGTTTGAGGAGAATTTCATCTTGGAACAATCTGATAAATCGCAGTTATCTTCCTTCTTTTCTCTTCCTTTTTTTTTTTGGACTGGCTCGTTCCCTTTTTTACTGCCTCTTTGATGATGGCCAAGCTTTTGTCAAGCTCCTATTTCAGTTGCCCAGCAATCGGTTGCAGAAAAAAAAAAAAAAAGGAGAAAGAGTCTTCTTAAGAAAAGACAGCAGAGCCAAACTCACACATCAGATGTGATGCCCCTATTTGAAAGGAGTGAAGAACATATGTGATGTTTTTCTTGGCTCCTCTTTTCGACTTGCCTGTGTTGCTGTTCTAGCTGTGATGCTTTCTTTGAGTTTGTGCACTCATATGCCTCTACAGAACTACAATGCGCCTTGACCTTTCCTTTTTACTAATGCTTTTAGCAGCATCTTTGTTTTGTCTAGACCCAGTCTTCTGCTTTTAGCTTCGCGTTGGAAATTCTTCTGCAAGACTTACCTTTTTTCCTCACACATAGACGGATGCAGACTCTCACAGAAACACACTCACCCACCATGTTTTCCACTGGCGTTTGTGCTTTATTATGAATATGGCAGTGTGAATACTCCTTATTCTTGCGGCACTAAACCTAAAATAGACCAAAGGCCTTCAGAGTATCAAATTGAGGCCAAGTGTCCCCTAAAAATACCCTCCATATTGTTTACAAGTCAGAGATGGCAGTGACCTGCCAAAAGACTCCACTTTCATGCTCTGTGCAGAGCCAACTCCTATTTTATATGAGTGGCCTATTTCGTCTGGGGTGGAGGTTGTGTGGGTTTCCCAGTATACCCTGGTCTGTGGTGATGGGAACTTTGTGGTTTAGTGAATATAGTGTCGATAAAGTTTGAGGAATGACCTTTAACCACAAGGTCATTGTGTAGAAAACTTGCTCGGGCAGAATTCTGGTCCAGTACTTTGAAGACATCTGAAAGAATTTAAGATTCTTTGAAGAGAGAAACAGAAGAGTTTCTGTTATCTTTGATTTGCGCTAATTCACTCGAGTCTGACACATAGTAACGGCATCGACTGGAATGTTGTTTTTTTTTTTTTTTGCTCTAAAAGAGATGACTTTTTCCCCAGGAGCAAAACTCCGAATTCTTCGTCCCTTGCTCAACTGTTATTCCTTGTGTCTGTCTCAGAGTGGAATGTGCTTTGGGAAGTTTTCAACACCTCTGAGACCAAGCAGGAAGAAAGAGGCATACTGACTTCTGCAGCAGAATGCCTCGCTCGCATCCGCTCGGCTAATGCCTCACAAACAAAGACCGGTCTGTGTGTGAGGAGGACTACAAGAATTTTGCACAGTATCCCTTTGGCTGAATCACATGATATGATCACTCAGGTTTGATTAAGCTTCCTCTTGTTATCTTAGACTAAAAATTTGGGTCGCACAGACAGCTGAAGTTGATCTGTAGCGGAGGTGCTTCTTTCTGTCCCGTGTGACAGCAGGACCTATGGAGAAAAGCTTGCTCTCCCCTTGCTTTACCCCCTCTGTGAGCTGTGCTACTGTAAGGGCACGATATGGGTAGCAGAGTGGAAACACTTAGGCAGCGATTTTGGTTGGGAGCCGGGTAGAATCTGTGCCAATTTAACAAGGCCTCCGGCAGAAGGGAGAGCGAGGGAAAGGGAAAGAGAGGGCGGGGTGAAGGTGGGATATGAGGGGGGGGGGTTGGGCGTTTAAATAGAAACAGCCTCTCAGACGTGTATTTTTTCAACAGCTCATACCTCAATCTGTCATCATTTTCTTATTTGTGAAGATCAGCCTCCTATATTGTCTCAAATTCCTAATTACTTAAGCAGATATTGCTTTTTTTTTTTTTTTGAAGACTATATTGTTTTTATGCATCGTTCTTTTTTTTTCTCTTTGCCTGTGGTCTCATTGAAATAATTACAGACTAATTTTAATCATAATCCCTGCATAGGGTTTGATCCAGCCTAGTGTGTGTTCTTTTTTTATCGTGTGGAGGCATCACTGAAATGTAATGGCTACCATCTGCCCGATATTGTTTATGATTCATGCCTGTCAAAGTTGCTGTTTCTCAAGTAGTAAGTACATGTAGGCGCTCTCCTGGGGGTATGAGGGAGTACTGCACAGAGTATAGGAAAGTATTTGATCAGAACCCGCTTATACTTGTGTTTTTGATGAGAGGG